TTCGAATGCAAACCGCAGAAACTGACGGTGGCGAGGAAGAATGGAGACATGGAAATAAATGTCATTCAGGTCTATCGCTGCAAACCAATCCTGTGGACGAACGCACCGGTGGATGCACTTCTGTTTGAGCATTCTGAACGGCAACTTGTGCAGACAGTGGTTCAAAACGCGCAGATCTAGGATTAGCCATGACCCACCGCTCTTTTTGTGCACGATGAATTACGGGCTGTAAAACCTGCTCTCCATCTCGGCTGGAGGGACCGGCTCGATTGCATCCTTCGCCAGGAGGACAGCAATCTCCTCTCGCAAGACAGGAGTGGACAGGGGGCTGACCCTGGTGAAATACATACCACTGAACTTGGGGGGCCGTTTTGCAAACTGAATCGCCTAGCCGAGTCTGATTGTGCGTATGAGCCACTGCGAAGGGCTGGCACACGCTAACCAGGCAGGCAGAGCTCTTGCTAATGGACTCATCGCTACAATCGCTGACATACCAGCAGTAGGGCAGTGCGGAGTGGGTGTGCTGATCCGGGAAGCGCGAGGATCCTGCGGAAGAGCTGGAGGCGAGAGGTTCGCTCTCACTTCGCACCCAAACTCCGGAGGGGAGGCTCGAGGGCTGGGAGAAAGGAGACGGCCTAGGCAGGGGCAGGGCCTGCGCTTGGTAGCCCTGGTAGGTGGCCATAGTGTGCAAGGCGGAAGCAGCCTGGCCCGCAGCCTTGTAAGCTCTGGCTCTGAGGGAGGCAGATAACCTACAGGCTTTGGATGGGAGACAAGGCGGACCCCGCGGACAAAGATTGACCACAATCGCGCGTTCGACCTGAGGAATCACTTCATACTCCCTGGCCACTCCACCGTCAATAGTGGTGAGGGTGGAGGAACACGCAGCACGGGCAGAGAGGTGTCCTCCAAAACTGCGTGAGCCTACTGTGCACCTCCGGGAAGAAGGGGACGAGAGGCTTCGAAGGCTTAGCCTTCTGGTCCTCTACATAGCACCCATCTAGTTGGTCTAGCCGCGAAGCTGGGGGATAAACCATCTCCAACCCCAGGGCCAAAGCAGCCCGGGAAAGCACAGCTAACATGTCCATTTCAGGATCTGTCTTGACGGCGCTCACCTGACCGGAGGGGGCGAGCGGGTCTAAATCATCATCGGACAATGAAAGCCCACCCTCCGATGCCGCGGTGGACGTCTGGTCCCCGGTGTCATCAACCGTAAGGGCTACCATCTGGTAAGACGGATTACTTCCTTGGCTCGAAGCTTGGATGGAGCACTAGGAGGAGCAGGAGGTTCTCCCGCTGGAACCCTCAGATATGCCCGAGTGCCAACTGCAGTGCAGGAAACAGCTGAGATGGTTTGCCCCTTCACAAGGGCTAGCCGCAATCTTAATTGCGTAACAGACATGGCATCTAAATGACGACATGAACTGCCCGTGAGCTCCGCATTAACATGCTGAACCCCCAGACATGCAACGCGTTGCTCGTGCCCATCATCCGGGGACAGGAAACCACCGCATCCAGAAACGCACAGTCGGAGCGCCATCCTGAAAAGGATGTGCTGCACGACTGTGTTGCTCCTTTAGGAAATTCTCAACTTTTACACACCGCTCTGGAGGACCGGACCCAAAGAACGCCAAGCAAAGGAGAATCCCAGCTCGACCGTCTGCCGCCGCGTGTACCCACTCTGGATCGGGATACCGCTCTTGTTTGCTCAAATTGCTGGATCACAGCAGGAGGAACCCTCATTGACTCTCTCAGAAGGCTAAACCAGTCTCTGATGCGAAAAGGATAGCGTTTCTTGCATTCCCTGTGCTTAAATGCTGAATTGATTGCAACAAGCATCAGGTGTGCAAGCTTACACCGCCAATTAATTTGGCATTTCATTGGCCCGTTTATATACTCTTTCAGACGATCGGCTTTCTGAACGAAATCCCCATACGTGGATTAAATCAATTTATAGCATTTATTTTATAGCATTTTTTTATAGCAGTAGTCTTTATCTGGGGTGCTTTTGCCAAAACCATCATTAGCCAACTAAGGTTGCAAGTTGCTAAATCCATCGTTCCAATGAACATTTGCAAACTGCATCGCAAACTTGTGCACTTGAAACAACACCTCTGGAGCTGTAGTTAGAATCATTGTTCCTGGCTGTGTTCTATTCCCACTTATCTCCCCTATGCCCTATTTATTTAGAACATTCCAACATTTAAAGGGCACCTATGGTGAAAAATCTACTTTTCAAGCTTTTTGGACAGACATATGTGTAGATATAGTGTATGGACATATTGGGGTGAAATAAACACACAAGTCCTTTTTTTTTCAATTTAACAACCTAAAAACGGTCGACCAATTGGATCGGTTTTCAGACCGACTTTACGTAGAAGTGCGTCCCACCGCCCACTGAATTGATTGACAGCTGCGTAACATGTCCCGGTAATCACGTGTATAATCATGTCAACAACACCAGACGCGGCCAAAGCAACCGGGAATAAAAGATCAGTTCAGTTAGCTAGGATCATCAATCATCATCAAATGTAATCAAGAGTAAGTTACACATGTTTAAAATGTTTTAAAACAGTGCACGTGTGTATTAAAGTACAGCAGTTTACTTCAGCTTTACTTCATAAGCACAGCGCGAGTCAGAACAATTATAAAAGAAGACGCTTCAATCCCGGTTTGTGGACGTTAAAGGGCCATGAAACCCCCCGTTTCAGCAGGGTATTTCCACACCTCTAGTTTAGAAGAAGTTAGGAAAGTGGGTGTGTCTAGCTCTGTTTTGGTGGGAGTGTCGGGGAAGGAAAATGGGAAGGGTTTGAATAAAAATGGGAGTTGCCATTTGGTCATGCGTTGACCGAGGAAAAACAAACACACACGCAAGGGGAAAGAGACAGTGTGTTTTATGACGGTAAAATGTTTGATACCGCACGTCGTATAATAGAAAAAAACCTCTGCATTTCTCGATTACTTGGATGCACTCAGTAGATCAGAAAGCCATGTTTGTGTAGACAATCCTGTCACAAAATGTGGCGAAAATAAAACATGACGGTCGGTAATAGTTTGCTTACAGTGTTCACATGTTTGCACTCAGAGACCAGCATTTACAGCAGATCGTTCAGTCTATAAAACTGTAGTGATATTAACGTAAACTAAGTAACTTAGAAATCATTTTGACTAAGGTCTGTCCTTAAACACTGAAAGAGTACTGGTGACCATACCAACTATAACTTTGCCATCTGAATGAACAAAGAAACGGTGCTGATCGCACACATTTACCAATTTTGTAGACAGGACAATCAACACATACTGGAGCTGTGTCTTTTTTTAAAGGCGACGAGGAGCAAATCCGGATTTCACCATTTCTAGATGCGAAAAGCTCTAGAGTAAAAAATGTTCCATACAAACGTATCTCTGCTGCGTGTTACGTGTACTGATTCACACATGAGTCTAGCAGGGTACTCAAAGCAAGAAAATGAAAACAAAACCTTAACTGCAGCACATTATAAAAGCAACACTGACGACCTGTATCTCCAAACAATTCTTATTCTTTCCACTCTTTTTGCTAACACGATGTGTCGTCTCTCTGCCGTCTGAACACTGTTTCAGGTACATTCTTAGAAAGCTAGTATGCATATTAATGAAGTTGCACACATACACAATAGAGCGCGCTGATTGGTTTGAACCAAGCCATACTCATGAATCAATGCAGCACACTCAGAGACGTAATACGGGACTCCCAGGTACAGACGTCCAGTCTACGCACTGGAATACACACAAAGATCTCATGGCCATGACGCAGCTTCAAAAATTCATTTCAAACCGGAAGTACGAATTTGCTCGAAATAACGTAAAAACAACCAACTTCCACTTTGTAGTGAAATAAATATGTCCTAATAGGGTTTTTAGCAGTGCTGGACACATACGACTGTCAACAGCTAAAAAAATGTGTTTTGGTGTTTTGTGACCCTTTAAATCAGGTTTATTTTGTACATTAACATAACAGATACTGTATCCATACAGCAGCAAACACTTATATTAAATCTGAAAAATTGGTAACCTAGTTGCCCTTTAAACTTAGTATGATTAAAAATAAAAAAGCATTAAAGTCGTCTCTTTTAGGTGTAATTTGCTTTCAAAGTATTTTTACAGTTCAGTTTTAGCGATCCTCATGTTTACAATTGGGCTCTCTTCTCAGTGCACTTTGAAAACACTGATGTCATTTTAAACACTGCCTTATGACGAAAGCTGTAGGTGACCTACTATTTAAAAGCTGAATTTATGTTATATCTCCAAAGCTTGTTTAAACAAAAACATAGTATGCGCTAATGCTTTTAATTTATAGGTTACTTATTAAGTATCTGTACTGTATATGACATGGGTCTGTTGTTTAGAACATTTCTGCAGTGGTTTGTGGTTTGCAGGTCAAATTGTAAAAGTAGACTTAAAAAAAAAACAATATCCTACCTTATAATAACAATAAAAAAGCGTGTAAAACAGTATAATCTGCACAAAAAAATTGGGGGTTCTTCTCTAAAGAAGGTGTTACTCCACCCCTTTTAGAGCATCATTATGAGTGTTTACGCTATTACAAACATGGTTCAAGCGATAGATCTGCGACAGAAAAGCTACGGGTTTTGGGAAACACTCGTCACTACATCGTTCTTTTTTCAACCGATGCATCGTACTATGAAAGTTCAGCAGCGAGTTACGTTGTTGTTTGGGAAGCGCACCCCTGTCTGTGTTATGCACCTTCATAAACTAGACAGAAGCCATGCAAGCCTTTGCTTTACTATTAACATTTTAAAAACAAATGTGTCATGCTTATGTTATGTTAAAATCAATTTACACTGTTATATAGTATAAATAAAAATTATACTGTAAGAATTTCTGAAGTATTTTTGCATTTACCTGTCACATACTGTAACTACTATGTAGATATCAGAGAACAATTAAATATATTGGACCAGTTCACTATATGGCACCTTTAAAACTGAAGAAAAAAAAGGCCCCAAATTTAAAACGAAACTTTAACTGCTAAACTAGAAAATGTTCTTGTTTCCATCTCAGAATCCAACTTTGAAAAACTAAATTAACACAAAGAATTACATCATATTTGTCCATACACTGAGTTGTATCTCTCAAAGTACTGACTTCTTTGAGTTTGTATCCTTCCTCTGGATTGTGCCTGTGACTGAAGTGCCAAAAACAAAAAGAAAAAAAGAGCAAACTGAATAATAAATAAAACGAATTAAGGAAATTAAAACTATATATTAATATAGAAAATAATTATATTATACAAATAAAATAATAATATATTATAAGATAATAATTTATGACTAATCATTAAATTTATATATTTAAACTATTCATCAAGGGGTGAAATCCAGAAATTCCTGTACCGTTTCTCTGTGACTCTCTTGTTGACTCTCTGTGTTGTTTTTACATCTCCTTAAATAGAACACAACACATTTCCATTTCAAAAGTCACAGTTGTTTCAGCCTTTATTTTGTGTTTTAAAATTTTTTTTTTCACATTTTTACTTCACTAGAATCATTGCTTTTATATCAGTGATTATTATAATAACACACAAAATTAGTAAACAAGTAACTAAACAAATACACAAACAAATAAATGGAGCATGAAATAAATGCAAACACAAAAGTGAAATCACTGTTAACTACTTATGTAGCAAACATGATGGTTAATAAATCCTGGAATAAAAAACTAGAGTTTTTTTCAGTGTTTCTTACCTGTGTTTGCACATGCAGATAGTAATTATGAGACAGGCTATAGTGACTCCAGAAGATGTGACGATGATGATGATTATGTAGGCATTTTGTTGGGGTTCTTCTGGTCCAAAAAAATAAAATAAAAGTCAGACACACATGATATCAGTCAAGCAGGATTCCACTAGTTATAGTCATTATTTAAAAATAATTTGCTTCACTGAGCTAGTTTTAATTTAATCAATACATAAAGTCATGGAATAACCTGTTATTGTCAATGTCCATCTTGTTCCTGCTGGATAACAGGTGTAGTTTCCTGCATCAGACACTTGTATTTGCTGTATTGTTAATTGTCTTGGAGCTGCTGGGTTGATGTGAATCCTGTTTGAGCTGAAGTTTGTGTGAGTTTTGTTCTTCACTGAAGAATGTGTAAAAAAAACGGAGTTGTTCATTTTCCATGTAAATTCATAATCTGCTGTAGCTTTGTTGCAGTGAAGTGTGACTGTTTCCCCCACAAACACTGTTTTGCTGATGTGCTGATTAATCTCTAACTCTTGATTGGATTTGCAATAATCTGAAGAAAAGGCAGAAAATTACAATTACTTACATTTTGCAGTAAAACGTGTAAACACACACATGCAAAAGCTGATAAGAGATACTTGTTACAGGACATCACACAGCACAAAAACACAACACACACACAAAAAAACAATGTTGCAATATACCTAAAAATGTCAGCAAGGTAACAATCACACACATATTTAGCTGCAGGATCCTGGTTCGAAACACCTCCATTATCACTGAAGGCACAAATGAATCTGTCGCTCTCCCTTCAACATGTTTAACACTTCTGATCAAACTGAGAGAGTCTGCAGGCAGGAACAAGAGGAAGTGGTTACATGAGAGTGGGACACCACTAAGAACCACTTCGCTAGAGAACATCGTGATCAGAGTGAGAAACGGCTCGACATGATGACTATTACAAGAAGATACACACATGCAAGATTTAGAGCAGGTTTTAGCTACATTTTCTTTAGCTGCATTCTTTATGCTATTGAAATTATATGAGCTGTTGATGCATATTGTTCCTTTTTAGACACCACAAAGACTACATCAGGTTATATTATATCAATTAACCATTTTTATGTCTGCTCATCCTTTAAGAAAACCATTAAAAATAAAAACAAAAGTTAAGTGCTTTAATAAACATTTCATTATACATTCCCTAAATGTTTAACTGCAAAATCAGCAATTATAGTAATAGCATAAATCCTTTAATTACTGGTCAGTACAAAATGTCAAACCATGTGAGCTTTTTAACTTGTTTACTGTTTGAAAGGCAAAAAGTAATGACAACAAAATTTATTATGATTAACGTATTTCATTAAGTTAATCAAGTTTTAACTACTTTTAAAGTTACACAAAGTTTAACTTAATATTTTTAGTCAGTTTGAATGATGTAAGTTGAGATGACTAGAAACATTAATTTAGCAAAAAAAGATTAAGGTTGCAAGATTAATTTTTATTTTTTTATTTTTTTTACAATGAAGGAACAAATTAACATCTTGACCTGGGAACAAATTTATGTAATGGTGTTTAGAGAACAAATGTAACCTCCATATGCACAATTAATGAAAGAGTGCTTACCTTTAAATCTAACTTAGTGGCAGGACTAATATTAACTTTAGATTTTGTCACAAAATTCAGCAGTGTGCATTAATATAGCCTCTGTGATAAGTTTTTAGACAAGCCTCATAACCCACACACTTCCTGTATTCTAGGACCTCTGTTGAGCAGAAGACATTTGCGGACCACTATAGCACATGCTGCTTACTTGCTTTTCTTTCACAGAAGCACTTTTCATTTTAAAAGCTTTAAACTATTTTTAAGATGCTATAAAATGCATTATATGTAAAAAAAAAAAATGCAGGCTTCCACACAATTCATTTATGTTGTCCCAACACAAATTGATCAAGTTAACTTAACACTTTTAACACATTTATGTGGATTGAACATAAAAAAAGTTGCCAATGAAATCTCAATAATAGTGTTGTTTCAGCTTATTAAAAAATAAGTAGTTTGAACGAGCAAAAAAAAAAAAATATTTGGAGGAAAAAAATTATTAGCCCCTCTGCTTTTTTTTCTTTTTTAAATATTTTCCAAATTATGTTTAACAGAGCAAGGAAATATTCAAAGTATGTCTGATAATATTTTTTCTTCTGAAGAAAGTCTTATTTGATTTATTTCAGCTAAAAATTATTAGCCCCTTTAAACGATATTTTTCGATAGTCTACAACTACAAATTGTTATACAATAACTCGCCTAATTGTCCTAACATTCCAAGTTAATCTAATTAACCTAGTTAAGCTTTTAAATGTCACTTTAAGCTGTAGAAGTGTCTTGAAAAATATCTAGTAAAATATTATTGACTGTCATCATCACAAAGATAAAATAAATCCGTTATTAGAAATGAGTTATAAAAACTATTCTGTTTAGAACTGTGTTGAAAAAATCTTCTCTCTGTTAAACAGAAATTGGGGAAAAAAGACTGTTCTTATACTTATTCTGCAGAAACTGTTTTACATGTCAATTTACAACTTAGGAATCGGCCCTAAGATTAAATGTTCTTTAACCACCCTATTTGGATAGTTCATGAATATTAATTAGCCCTGATGCTCCTGCTTAAATACACACATGCAAAATTAACATGCATGTGTTGTCAAAAAATATTTTGACAAACTTGATCATTGGTTCAAAGTTACGTATAGCAGTGCGTGTTTTGTTCTAATTTGCAATTTTTCTGTTGTGTTTTGATAAACATGATTCATTTAAAAAGGAGGGTATGATGGTATTTAAGGATCACAGTGTGTCATTTCCATCTACTGATCTCTTATTATTCAGGTTTGCCTGGATATTTCTAATTTATCCCATCATAAATGGTGACCATGTTCATTGTTTTGAATGGACTTCTTTAGTGTGGGTAAAAATAAAAAGGGATGTAAAGATCCAAAGATCGTTCCAGACGTTGATGCACTGATTCAAAACACCTCTTCACCAAATGAGTGCAACTTCCATTTACCTAGCTACCAAAAATGTTTAAAAATGTTTTGTTAACACTAGTTTATAAATTGTTATAACTAAATGTTCTTTGATCAATCGAAATATCCAGTTGGTTAAATGTTTGAAAAACGGGCTTACAATTTATTTTGCTTTTCAACTTTTCAACAAGTATTTTTACAAATACATGCCAACTGAGTCAGGGTTAAGGTTATAGACAAAAAGCTAATTTCCAGTTGCAAAGTTTGCAAAGCTTACAGTCCGCAGAATTTGGGGTGTCGATCAGAATATATATTTTTGCAGATATTAAGCAATCTATGCATATTATAATGAATGCTGGTCGTCGACAAACTGCTCACAGTTAGGAGAATGTCTAAAGTGGACTATAAATATTATTAATGTTACAAAATGAACATTATTACAGACCACAAACATCTGATAAATGTTTTATTAATCTTACTAGAAGAACATTTGTTTATTCCCTTAAGAGATAGTTCTCTATTTGCCAGTAGTTGATCTTGTCAATGGCATAATAATGTTGTATCATGGCTGTATTGTCCATAACAGCTTATTTGATAACTTACAATTGTAATTTAACTTTAAAAATATATGAGCAATGAAGCATGCATCTTAAACTGCAAACCTTTTGCCACGACTGTACAGACGGTACAGCACCTGTCATGCTTTATTAAATAATCTTCTGTGCAGTATACTGGAAAGATCTGTAGAGTTTGTGTGGTAAATACATTCCACTGGTCAAAGCAGTTGAAAGCAAACATGCAGTTTGTTGCAGTTTTCCACGTGGCTTAGCATCACAGAAGAACTACTAGATGCAATCAGACCAAAAACCACTGTGATGTGTGATGTTGAGCTTGTTTTGTAACTGAAAGGTTGTTGCTTCACTTGATGAGTTGATTAAAGCAATGGACTTCTATCTTGAACTGTTGACTTGTTTATCTCATGTCTATTTATAGACAAAAGATCAGCTTAAAAGATTAAGACATACAGATCTTATCTCTACTTTCCTGTAGAGAAGCGCTGAAGACACTGAGTGCTTATTATTTCTCATTTATGCATAATCATTTAATTTCCCAAATGGATTTATCTGTGTTTAATAGCTCTAATAACTTAAGAGGTAAGGAAAATTGAGGATAAAGGTTAACAGATTCATAATTGGAATTCTCTTAATTACTCAAGTGTTACTTCAAAATGTCATCAGTTACATTTAAGAGATTTGCCCTCATGCTATTGATATAAGATCATACTTTTTTTTTTTACTGGATTTATTTGGAGTATACATTTGGTTCTGTAACTTTACACATTACATTTAAAGTTGTTTGGTAATATGGTAATAGAATCCGTTCAATCTGAAACTCTTTCAGTTACACTATAATGCAATAAAGCTAGCACTTTTAAACCCATTTTTAGAAGTTTGCCTTTTCCGGCCCTCAAAATGCAGTTCTCATGTAAATAAGAGTAAAACGTGAAGTTCTTTTCAACATAATGTTAATGGCCCCTTGCTCCAGTCAAGAGCCACCCACATACTCAGAGTCTCTCTGAACGATATTCAGAGAAACCAGTCATAGTTTGTTCGCTTAGCTATACTAAAACATCTAGAGGTTCGTTTCCCAAAACCACTGTTAGCCAACTAAGCTTGCAAGTTTCGTCGCTACAAAAATAGTTCGTTGATTTGCTGTTTCCCAAATCCCTCACTCCAGCAAACATTCGCAAACTGTGTTGCAAACTTGTGCACTTGCAACTACACCTCTGGAGCTGTAGTTAGAAACATAGTTGGCTTTGTTCTATTCCCACTTATCCCCCTATGCCCTATTCATTTAGAACATTCAACCATTAAAAATTGGAATGATTAAAAATAAAAAAGCATTAAAGCAATCTCTCTTAGGTGTAATTTGGTTTCAAACTATTTTTACAGTTCAGTTTTGGTGATATTTGTGTTTACAATTGTGCTCTCTTCGCAGTGTACTTTGAAAACATTGATGTCATTTTGAACACAGCCTCATGGTGAAAGCTATAGGTGACCTATTATTTAAAAGCGGAATTTATGTTATGTCTCCAAAACTTGTGAAAACAAAAAGCATATGTTAATTCTTTTAATTTATAGTAGGGTATTGTAACCGCAGGGAGTGACACATACAACTGAGGTTGGATCCACAATGCAGGTTTACTCGTTATCAGGCAAGCAATGGTCAATACAGGTGCAAACGGGTATGTGAAGGCAGTACAGAATCGTAGTCAATAACAGGTCAAAAGGCAGGCGGCAGACAAAAATAAGTAAGCTAACTAGGCTAAGGTCGGTACACGGACAAACAAGACTAGGAAAACGCATTGTAGTGTTACTATTGGTAGACAAGACTCTGCAAACTGAATGGGTGAGTGTGTGGCTTAAATAGTGTATGCAATCAGTCTCTGACAATCCTCAGGTGGCGCGAGTAATCAGTCTAGATGAGGAAGCATGTGTGAATGTGACCGGAGTGCATGTATGATTATGTA